TATTTTAAAAATATTATTATTAAAAATGCATATAAACGTAACACTTTTATTTGACATCACCCAGTATAAAGAAACTAACGTAAAACGTAGTGTGTGCAAAGTATGGTCAGGAAAGGAACACATGTGCGTGGGTGGTTGGGGTGTAGGAATTTTGGCACGAATGAGATCCTCGTCGGTGTGGGGGTGTCGTTAGAAAAGGGAGAGAAAAGTGTAGGGGTGGAATGAGGAGGAGAGGGATGAACGGGTGGGTGGGTGGGTGACTGGCTGGGGGGTGGGGGGTTGCTGCTCTTTCGGTTGCAGCGCGATAGTCGACCAGTCAGTGCGTCGTCAGCCTCCGCGTAGTCGCGATACTTCTTCTTCTTCGTCCCTTTGTGTCTTTTTCTATCCTTCATCTCTTTCTATTTTTCTCACATATCGTCATCTTCGTCATCTACGTCATTTTCCATCATTTTGTATTTTTACATCACCCTTTCTACCATTTTCATCTCACTCATTCACTGTCTTTCTGTTTATTTTTCTAATTTTTCTATGAGAATATTTATTCATTTTTCTTTTTCCCTCTAAAGGGTGACTTTCATATTTTTTTTTTTAAAGTTTAATCTTCCCATTCATCGATCTTTCATTTTTTATTTTACTCATTATTAATTAGTTAAAATTATTTGTGTTATTTTTCTGCAGGATTATTATTATATTTATGCATTTTTCTTTGTCACTCTAAAGGGTGACTTTCATATTTTTTTTTTTAAAGTTTAATCTTCCCATTCATCGATCATTCATATTTCTTTTTGTTATTTTACTTATTATTAATTAGTTAAAATTATTTGTGTTATTTTTCTGCAGGATTATTATTATATTTATGCATTTTTTCTTTTTCCCTCTAAAGGGTGACTTTCATATTTTTTTTTTTAAAGTTTAATCTTCCCATTCATCGATCATTCATATTTTATTGTACTTATTATTAATTAGTTAAAATTATTTGTGTTATTTTTCTGCAGGATTATTATTATATTTATTCATTTTTTCTTTTTCCCTCTAAAGGGTGACTTTCATATTTTTTTTTTAAAAAGTTTAATCTTCCCATTCATCGATCATTCATTTTTTACTGTACTTATTATTAATTAGTTAAAATTATTTGTGTTATTTTCCTGCAGGATTATTATTATATTTATGCATTTTTCTTTTTCACTCTAAAGGGTGACTTTCATTCTTTTTTTTTAAAGTTTAATCTTCCTATTCATCGAGTATTCATTTTTTATTTTACTCATTATTAATTAGTTAAAATTATTTGTGTTATTTTTCTGCAGGATTATTATTATATTTATGCATTTTTCTTTTTCCCTCTAAAGGGTGACTTTCATTCTTTTTTTTTTAAAGTTTAATCTTCCTATTCATCGATCATTCATATTTTATTGTACTCATTATTAATTAGTTAAAATTATTTGTGTTATTTTCCTACGGGATTATTATTATTATTATTATTAAAAATGGACGAAGAAATGAATCGAGAAAGGAAGATGTAATTATGCGTAAGAAAATAAAAGGGTTTTTGTATTGTTAGTTTTTTAAACGAGTGACGATTGTGAAAATTTGAAATTGTGATCTAAGAAAACGAAATTAGAAGATCGTGCAGCAGAAGAAGAAGAAAAAGAAGAAAAAGGGTTGCAATGTATTTTGAATGTTGGTGGCCATTACTTTGATTTTATTCTTTGAATTAGTTTGAAAATCATTTCAACATTTTTTGGATATTGTGCTCGTGCGAAAAAGATTTTCCAATTTTTTTAAGAAATTAGAATACAAATTATAATTTAAAACCGAAACTGAAATTTACTGGAAGGATACTCACATAGGGATATAAAAAAATAAATAAAAAAATGAAGGAAGAAATTGGTCAAACTGGAACGGTCTTTGCTTTTCTTCGGGGTGGAGGGCTGGGGAGGGGGGAGGTTATGTGTCAAGATTCGGCAAAAGCAACGTTTCAAGAAGTTCAGCTTTTATCACAGCGACCTTGAGTATCATACCTTAAGTACAAGTTCTTTTTATTTTTTCTTCCCTTCTTCTTATTCTATTTTTTTGTGTGCACCAAAAATAAACGCGTTAATGAAATCTAAACGAAACAAAATCTAATCTTTAAATATTCATATCATCAATGTGTTAGATTAAAATTCATTTGAAATAATAATTTCGTATCTGACGTTTTACTTGATTTTTTTCTTTCTTAAATATACGAAGTACTTAAATTTTTAATTGAATAATCGTTAGAACTTGAATTAAAAACAAAACAAATTACAAAACGTGAACAACAATCATCTGAAAGATCTCACAAAATTAGGAATTCATCGTGTTTATCTTTTAAATATTATAACTTATGAAATAATAAAATATACTTCTTCCTCGAAGAAAAAAAAAGAAGAAAAAACTCGATGGGGTTGGAAATGGGGGGTGGGTGGGTGGGGAGAGAATCGTTAATTGCGATCTCGTACATTTTCCCCTTACAAAAAAGAAAATGAATAATAAAAAAAGAGAAAATAGTTAAAAAATAAAACTGTATCTTTTAGATGGTTATTTTTAAAAAAAAAAAAAAAAAAACCATCATCCGGAAGTCGATCGTATTTCTTTAGGGGAGGTGAAAGCAAACCGTGTGTTTTGTTAGGTCACCCTGCCCATTTATTATACTCGTAGGCATATTGCCAGGGATTCGATCGAATTTCGATAAAAGCGAATATTATGACGTATCCCGAGGTCGTTATATTTTAACAAAGAACCAATGAGAGAACGATACTATTACTATTACTATTACTATTACTAATAATGAGATAACAAGTTTAAAGCAACACGAATTAAAATGATATATCCATGACGTTTAATTCGTAATATTGAATTAGTTTATAATAATGATTTCAACAAAACAGGAATGGGGGGTAGTGGATAGGGGGTAGGAGGGGGGGGGGTGATGAGTACATGTGTGAGAAAATCAAAACAACAACTACTATTATTCTAATTCTATTATATTCTACGATTTGAAATTATTCGAATATATTAATCAGCCTTTTCAAGGAAATAATAACAGAAAGTTATTTCGAATGATATTATTATTATTATTATTAGTCTCGTTAAATTAATTACCTATAGTTAAATTAGATAATTAAATTACGTTTCAATTGGTATTTTTTTTGTTTCATTTCCCTTCTTAATGTATGCGTTCTTGTGTGCATCTATTTTTGTTTGTTTGATTATAAATCGTATCTATGCAACATTATTGTTCTTATTTTTTTTCTTTTTTTTTTTTTTTATTCTTTTAACTTTATCTCATATATGAATACATCAACGTGAATTTGAAAGGAATCTTTTGAAATCCCTTTGGGCCATCCTCAAAAGAGGATGAAACTATCAAGTTGGATTAACGAATACTATCAAATAAATTAGATAGAAAAGATCTTGGTTCTTATCATTCGAATGAACTTGAAAAAAATGGAACATTCAATTCTATTTTTTCTTTTTTTTTTTTTTCTCATCATGGTCATCACATTCTCATCGTTGAGAGAGTTGCAATTTTTCAAATAGTTTTTTAGTATCTCGATTTAAATAATAAATTGTTTATTCTCTTTCTATTTTCTATAAAGAAGAAACACTTTGGTTAAGAGATTAATTAATTAATTTTATTGTTAATTAAATGTAATAGCAGAATTTTTGTTCAAAAGATACAACGCGTCTTTCAATGTTACCTAAAAGTGGTGCTTTAAAAAATTCATTTAAACGATCGTTCACATTTTTCTTATTACATTTTCAGCAAGAATAAATTCATAATTTTCTTGTAAAAGATTATCTTTTTTTTTTTTTTATATATAAAGGTACACCGTTTCCTAATTTTATGCGAGTGGTAATTCATTAAAAATAAAGAAAGAAAGATAGAAAGATAGAAAAGAACAAAGTAATGGAAAAAAAAGGGCCGTTCACAGAAAGTTCATTATCTAAAGTTTACTTTTACGAAAAGACGAATGTTTGCACAAAGTGAAAATTTAAAATATTTCACTTTTTTCTCCCCCTACAAAAGATAACTTTTGCTAAACTTTTATTTATACGTTCAAATATAATAACGAACCGGATTTCTTTGTTTAAATGTATATGTTCTCTTGCTTATTATAATTATTATTATTATTATAATGAATAATAACAACTATGATTATTTTCCCGGTTTAAATGGATTTCATTCTATAGATGAAAGATATCTTTTAAAAGAAGAAGAATAAAAAAAATCATGAATGTTGGTGCTCGTTAAAAGATTCCTAAGAATAATTGAACGAACTTTCAATACAAAATTTGCATGACTAGGTGTATAAAAAAGTGACGTATTAAATATATTAAAGGGAACATCTTTGAAGAAATAAAATCAGATTCTATTCAATTTTGTTTAAACACCATCAGAAATTTACTATATTTTTATTTATCATCGGAAAAAGAAACAAAATTACTTTTTCGCGAACAATTTGAATATGTAAATATATATATAATTGTTTTTATTGTAATATTTGTAAGTAAACATGTGTAATATACATTTTTATATTATCTGATTAAAATATGTAATTCTATATTTCTTTCGTACTTTAACAGATCAATATAATTGTTACATGAATTCATAAATTTGACACATTTTTACGTTAATACATGTAATTCGTATCTAAATGTATTCCGAATGATAATAGCAAGTAGTCAAAGTCAAGTAGTGAGTCAGACAAATATTATTATCTATCCAACATCTTACATTTTATTGTAATATTGTCTACTATTTACAATATATACAATTTTCGTCAAATAATTATGTCATTAATTGCAATTACGGTTTATCTATTATGCAAGATGCAAATGGGATTGGCACGTACACGCGGCACGTAACATAGTTATTTATTAAAATATTATTAACGATGTGGAGATCATCGTTAATGGCATTTTCGTTGATAACCGAAACTTCCATTCTTGATTAATAGCTATGTTACATTTAATATATATATGTGTATGTATCTATATATGTATAAAACAATATACATAGTACAATATATACATTTATAATAAAGGAATTTGAGTGTATGAGTTGAGTGGTTAAAATTCATACCGAAAATGCATTAATCATTGAAACGTTTATCTCGTATTGGTGTGTTAGTGTCACACTAATACATATACACGTTCATTTTCAATCGAGATCAAAGGTCAAGCAGGTTGTCTGTTCGATGAACGACCATCCATTTTCCCTGATTCCGTTCTTTCGTTTCAGATGACAAAGTTACTTACACGTCCCCATAATATAACAGTAGATGGTTCTAAGGTAGTAGGGTAAAGATAGTAACCTGATTATTTATCGGTGAAAGTTTACTTGAAGTACGACACCACCTTCGGGAAAATTCAACGACAAGTTACGAACTGTACAATCTTTACCTTCAGTTTCAACAAACAAACTTAGATGATTCTTTATTTTCGATAAAGTTTGTTGATAGAAAAGATTTCTTTATGATAAAAGAAGAAAAAGAAATGTAGAAAGTATATTAAATTAATTACGAAACACGGAATGAATTCTTTTTTTTTGTTTATTGTTGTCGTGTTAACCCTCTGTGGGTCTGTGTTACTTTCAGGTAACATGATCATTTTTCGGCATTTTATCAAATAATTTTAGTTTTTTTAATGAGATGGCGAATACATCTCAATTTTATAATGTTTCTGAGACAACTTATACCAATATTCATGATAGTTGCTAATACCATCAACCTGAAATAACTAAATAAATGTTGTGCAAA